AAAAAAAAAAAAAAACAAATTGTGGTGAGGGTTAACCCAGGCAGTTCTTTAGGCAGAGGTGATTTAGATAGTCAAGTGAGGGATCCTCCCCAAGGAGGTAATGTTTGACCTGAGACCTAGAGAGAGAAAAGGACTAGAGTCACAGATGAGGGCTAGGTATTCCGGGAAAATGCAAACAGCAGGTGCAACAGCTCTAAGGTGGGAACAGGCTCAGTGTCCACCAGCAAAGCTGTTGAAAATGATCCCTGGCACTCTACCCAGGGGGATAGCTTGAGGCTCCGTCTCAAAAAAAAAAAAAAAGAAAAAAAGAAAATGATCCCCAAGGAGGCCTCAAAATTGAATTACATACCAGGGCCACTGAAAAGCCAGCAGACATGTGCTTTTTCATACCTCTTGCACAAACTGGTCCACCCAGCTTCCTTTTTCCTCCTCACTTCTCAAACTCCTATGCATTCTGCAAATTCCACCACAGATTGCCCTTTTAGATGCAGCCTTGTTCTAACTCCTTCAGTTGTCTCCCTCTGGAGACCCTGCCCTAATCCTCCCTCCAGCCCAGGCTTGATTTCCCAGAACAGGGGGTGTCTGTGTCCAGCTCTGTCACCCACAGATTAGAGGCTTGACAGGAGGTGGGCTGGGACTATTTACAGGAAACCACGTGAGGCAGGAGCTTGAACAAACTCTTGATATACACTAAGGTCTAGCAGTGATTAACACTGCCTGAGGAAGAACCAGGGAGTCTCAGAGCAGGATGGGAAAAGGCAACACAGTGGTCAGGGTTGGATCACACAGGCCTCAAGCACCAGGCTGAGAATAGGGGGCAACAGGGATCCATGGACGGTGCATGAACACGAAAGGAGCATAGTGCAATTTATGAGTTACAAGGATCCTCCTAGGACTGGTGTGAGCTGCCCTGGGAGTCAAGGCTGGAAACTGGGCATATGGGAAGGGACATTGAAAGTGTTCTGTCTCAAAAAAAAAAAAAAAAAAAAAGTACAGAAGGGAGGGATGGGAAGCAGGGGGCAATTTAGGAGTCAGGAATGCAGGGGGCATTCAGGATGGAGATATGAGCTTGGAAGCCAGGAGGAACCTACTCACCCTGCACCAGCAGCCACATCAGCCCCAAAGCATTTATTGAGTACCACCTGCACACCAACTGGAAGGTAACAGTGAAGTTCACACACTGACCCTCCTGTCCCTTTGTTGGGGGTTTCTCCTCTTCTTCCTCTAGCAGCTGAGAGTGCTGAGAAGCAGATTGGGGACTGTAAAGGGCTGTAGAGCCTTCTGGGACCTCAAGGGTGGTCCTCTCCTGTCCCCATTCCTCAGATAGGGAGACTGAGGCCAGAGAAGAGTTAGTGTGCCCCAAGGCGGGGACTGGAAGGAGGCTAAGTGGACATTGGGACATCACAGGCTCAGTGCCCAAGAATCACATACTCTTCTTCATCCAGCGAGGCTGGCCTAATGACTGCAGGTTGCAGTAGACAGGTGTGGAGGCCAGGTCAACACCCTCATAGTTCATGTAGAAGTCATTGTCCTCTGAAGGCTGAGCCCTGTGGAGACAGATAGATCAGGTGGGGGCACGGGAGGGAGGAGGATTCAGGGGACAGGTACCTCAGCTTTAAGAAAGTTCAGGGTGGTCAAATCCACTCATAACATTTATACATGAAGAAACTGAGGCGTGAGGCCAGGCCCTCCCTTCTCTGAGGAAGCTGGGGAGGGCAGTGATTTAGGGAAGAAAGTGTGGATTTATGCTGAGTTCTGAGAACTTTGAACCCATGGAACTTTTCCTTCCTTAAAGTTTTTACATTAAAATCTAGATTTCAGTTTCCTCCTAAAAAATCAGAAACTCTCTGTCCACATCAGTCACATGGACATAGTGGCTGGAGCCAAATCAGTATTTTCCCCTTTATTTTATTTATTTATTTATTTTGAGACAGAGCCTCAAGCTATCGCCCTGGGTAGAATCCCGTGGCATCACAGCTCACAGCAACCTCCAACTCCTGGGCTTAAGTGATTCTCTTGTCTCAGCTTCCCAAGTAGCTGGGACTACAGGC